TTTTCCAGTTAATTTCTTGTTCAAAACTTAAGATTGTTGAAATATCTCACATCAACCGTATTTCTGTGAAAAGAAGAGTTTAAATATCTTAATCCCGCTCCAACTAATACCAAGGCATTTTGTGATAAAACTCTACACTTGACAGATCGTGCAAGTGGTAATTACCAAGTTGGAGACAATATCGGTGTTGTTGGTAGTGAGCCTTCTACCCTTTCTCTCTGATAATTTGACATGGTATCCCCACCACCAAGGAACGGGCCCATACTGTACTACCACGTGATGAGTGGGTCCCCTTGGCCCCACGTGTAGGGTGAGTCCTCTTGGCTCCATGTGGTTGTCGATGTATGGATATCTCACGTGACCCACGTCCTCTTGGCTCACGTAAGGGGCTGTGTTGGAATATCCTACATTGACAATATCTTTGTGACAAGAAGAGTTTAAATATCTCAACCACACTCCAACTAATACCGATGCCTTTTGTGATACAACTTTATACCTGACGGATTGTGCAGGTAATAATTACCAAGTTGGGGACAATATCGGTGTTATTGATAGTGGGCATTCAACTTGTCTCAATGATAATTCGACACAGATAACAAATGAATTAATGGAATATCTTAGATCTCTTCTTGCTTATGTAGGACTATTGTTGTTATTGGGTTCTGGTTGCTAGCGGAGAGGGATGGTTGTGTTTCTTCCTCTCACATTTATAGATTTTTTTATTTATTTATTTTTTTTTTTTACTCCTTATGTTTTTATTTTATTTTTAATTTAATTAATTTTATGTAAGCATCTTTATCATTTAATGATTAGAGACTAAAAACTCATAATCAGGACCCGCAAATATAATGGTTCTAGCTAGCGCAACTAATAATTAAGATGCCAAATCGGTTAGAGTTAGTTTCCATTCTAGTGATAGAGATCACAAATTCAAATATTGGACTTCAATTTTCAATATAAAAGAAACAAAAAGAAGAGAATTATAGGTTAAAACTATCTTTTATTTTTTTTATCTTTTATTCTTTGGTATGACTGAATTATGTTAACATGTATATATGCAAGTAGTAGTACTAACCGGTTAATAAGTTTATATATATATATAATGTTAACTACTCGTTTGGGTCTACTCCGCAATAAATTTTTATGATCCGAACCGTTCAATTTAAATATCACCATTTGAAAATCATCCTCGCAAAAAGTTAGCCAGATTAGAAATTGTTTCACGGTTTGATTGTTTTTGTGAAACAGTGAAAGAGAAAATGAGAGAATCACTCTAACCACATGAAATCTCTTTCATCTCACACAAGGTAAAATGAATGCACTCAAGTATACTCTAAACGTTTCTAGCTAGAGCAACTAATAATTAAGATGCCAAATCGGTTTAGAGTTATTTCGATTCTATTGAAAGAGATCACAATGTCAAATATCATGGACTTCAATTTTCCAATATAAAAGAAACGAAAAGAACAGGAAATTATAGGTTAAAACTATATTTTATTTTATTCTTTGGTACGACTTAATATGTATGTGTGCAAGTAGTAATACTAGTGACAGCTTACTGGGGGTCAAGCTCGGCGCTAAGAAACTCCAAAAGCATGGTTCCGCCGAACACATCGGCAAGGTCATCGAGGGGCCGAGTCAAGCCTATGGTGGAGATTAAGTTACCAACACTTATCTGGACTGTAACCACAGCCCTTATGGTTACTGCCTTAATCTCTGTTAATGCGACCTCGGATGCTGAAGAAGGCCGGAGTTCATAAGAATTAGCACGTACAATAATTGAGGACCTTTCCTTATTATGTTCGATAGGCACATAGTGGCGTGGAAGAAGGTTGATTAGAGAGGGGCTGCCATGCCTCGTAAGATAATTAGGGTTAATGGAGAATTTTGGGAAGACAGAGAAGGATTTGGGCTTTTGCAGCTGAGACTTCATCTTACAATTACGTAGAATTGGAAGAGGAATGGTGGTCTTGTTGGAACGTGATATGCATTTATAGATTTAATACACACGAGAGAGAGAGAGGCCAATGATTTTGATATTTGGTGCATTCATGTGCTTCACACGCACTTAGACTGCAAGAAATTCATATTTTTTTGCATGTTAATTATCTATTTAGAGTAGTCAATTAGTACTACAATCTAATGGGGTACAACACCGAAAAACTAAGGTTGTTTGTTCTCTCGTGTAGGTAGCTGATCTCGCACAACTCTTCCATCCATGGTGGTGTGAAATTTTGGTTCCAACAATAGGCCTAGAAGAAGAGCAAACAAATATTAAAAAAATTAAAAAGGTGTATAGGAGGTCAAATGCAGTATGTGAGAATCACCACTTCTTCAACAAGTATCTACTGTCAGTTTAAGTTTCTTAACCAAAAAAAAGAAATAAAAGAAATAAACATAATTCTGGTAAATCATAAGAGAGAAAACCATCTCCAGTTTGACTGATTATCTTTACATAAGATAAAGAGAGAGAAAAAAGGCCCCATTAATTTAGGATTAATAGACTTGTTATAGTTCTGGCCTGTGACTCTAAGAGTGGCTGTAATATATATATATATGTCCGTTTGTAGTCAAGGAAGAACCTAAGAATTCACATGGCATCACAAAAAGAATGTATGAGCTGGATCACCAACCTTCTGTAACGTAAGTGGTGGTATCTCTAATCTCTCCCTTTTGATTACTAATTACAAGGTTATGAACTTTTGATAGATATTTAGACATATCTTGGCAGCATCATCGGGCCAACGGTGGTGTGGTGTGATACTCACGAAGAAGTAACTATATGTCTTAATTTTATATATCTGCAGTTTTCTAAATTCGAAAATCTTTTATTCTGAAAGTTGATTGTATTGTCTAGATAGGGTAAAAGGAATATATATCAGGTGTTTCTTTTTCTTACATTTACAACTCCAGAATCAGCGACTGCATCGATCCATTAATTAGCTGTGTATTACAAAAAGCAGATCGCAAGGAAGGGAACTTAGCAGCCAGCAGCCTTGCATCAGCGAAAATGCATGGTACCAAGAAAGGTGACTGATATGTACCGAATCCATTAACATGCAAGTCTTCATGCACAATAGAAATAATATTTTCTACAAAGTAGAACTAATCCATCAACGTTCCCTGTTTTGTTGTGGGCGGTGCCTGCTCGGATTTGAATTAAATATAGTGTTTTCATTGTCACTTAATTTTAATCAAACTTACATCGGCCACTTGCATCTCCTATTATAACCTTAAAAGAAAACATTAAAGGAGTATGAGGAGAAAACTTGACGTTGGAGGTGACTTATAGCAGTATTTTTTTTTATGAAGATTTCAAGATGTGTGGTATATACTCTCCATATACTGGAGAAAATTTTCAATATATCGAAAACACGACTCGATATATCAAGTGTCATAACACAATATATTGGTTGGAAATTGTTTTTCAAGTTTCTAACCAATTATATTTTTACGCTTGATGTAGTAGGCAGTGTTCCTGGCACATTGAAAAATTCTAAATACTGGGGTATAGAAATTGATATTGATGTCAGTATTATCTATTATTTGATGCTATCTAGGCACTTTTAGTAATTTAATTCCCAATCAAATTATAAACATCAAATCCAATAATTTAAATAGAAAAACAACAAAACAAAAGAAAATTAACTATCTATCCAATTGGCTTCACAAGGACATTGCTTGCATTTGCATTTGCATGGAGCAAAACAATTACAAATGGGAACGGTATGAATTATGGGGAAAGTAAGAAACTATTATGGGAGCTCCCGATGACTTTGATTTGCTTTTTCTGAAGTTCTTTGAAGAACTAGGCTTTCCAGCTCCCTCATCGGAGACCTCTGACGATGGCATGAAGCAGTGGAAACAGAGAAAATAACCATTTGCTAGTAATTTGCAAGGGTTGCTAAGTTGTTGTGATATATGGGTGTGTTGTATTATTGTCCAGTATTTGTAGTGAGATGGAAATGGGACTTTGTCGATTAACTTAGAAGCCACGAAAGATTTCAAGATCTCACTGCTTCACGATGATACTACTGACATTGGCTCTTTTACTACTACAAAATTAGTTTAATGTATCGGAGAATCGTTGCGATTTTATATGATATACTGTTGGATAAGATATTTCCAACCACTACAAAAAAAATGAGCTTTGGGTACAAAACAAATGGCACAGTTGAGAATTTTGTATCAGATTGACCACCAAAAAGCTTAAAAAGTTCCCATTCTATAGAGGGCACCATCTATTGTGCTCAATGTTAAAAAAAAGCAGACATAAAACAGTAATGGGCACGGAAACCGTGCCGAGTGGGGTTAGTGACAACTTTTTTACTAAAGATGGGCACAAAAAACATTTTGTGTCTATAAAAATTATTTGTCAGAGGCTCTATATGTTCTCTCTCGTTTGTCTTTACCTCCTCTAGCACACCAATAATTAAAATTTATAAACTTATGGTAAATAATGGTATGGAACTGTTTATTACTGTGCAATATTTTAGCCTCAAAATAAGTTAGCAATAATATTGTTCAAATTTGTTTTTTCGCGATAGCCGAATCTCAGATCTCTCACTTACAAGTAAAGAAGAATATTATTATACCGTAGTACTAAGTGGCGTGTTTTAGATTTACCAAAATGATGACGAAGCTATATGTAATAAATTAAAGATGTGAATGAATTTGAATTAAAAAGCTCAGTTTCATTAAGTATTGAAATTAATCTTCGATAGAACTTCAAAATTAAAACACTTCAAAATTAAAATGAAATTGGACTAGAATTAATAATGGCTTATAAAATTGGATTTATATTAAGTTTCCTCTTCTCCAAATTGGACTTCTCCCTCTCTTTTATGGTGCAAGTTTGGTTTCCCACCACCAAATTCAAAAATTTGCGTTTCCACCACGCATTACACAATTGTGCCCACTAACTCTTATAATAATAATAATTAAAAATTAGTGTTATAATAATAATTGTGCCCACTACTTATAATAATAATTAAAATTCTACCCTATTTCTATCTCAGGTCCCTTCTATCTCTTTAGTCCGTCTCACCCTCACTCTCCAAAAATTTGAACGCCGCTCCACCGTCCAGTTCGAACCCACTCCTCCGTCGAGTCCATCCACTTCAACACCGCTCATCAGTCCAGTTCAAGGCATTCTTCCGGCGACATACACAGAGACACAAGAGGCCCAAAATACATGTGAGGTTTCTTAAATTCAATTTTTCAATGGGTTTTTGTTCTTTAGGGTTTAGGGTCAAATTGGATGTGTATTTTGTCGAATATGGTTTATGGTTTGAGGACAGTGGGTTTCAAATTAGGAATCTAGGATGGGTGCAGGTCTTTGAGATTGGAAGGGTTTCAAGTTGGGTGTGCTCCGGTTTAGGGTGGGTGCAGGATCTGGAGGTCATTGGGAGGGTGGGTGGGTAACGGTTCATAGGTTTAGGTTTAGGTTTAGGGTGGGTGGATGCAACAGCTGCGACTTTTTTGCTTGGTATGAAATTGATAAATAGAACTATGGTTGATTATGTTTATGTTTATGAAATTGAAGTGCTGATTATGTTTATGTGGAATTGACAAATAGGATTGATTATGTAGTTTGAGTTTTCTCCTTTCGTTGATGTTGCAGATAAATTAGAATTTTGTTCTTATAAATTGTCAGAAAATGACTCCTACACCTTTTTTGCTTGCTGTCATCTAGAGAATGTAACTTTTGGCTATAACATATGTTTTGTAGAATCAGCTGCAACAGCTGCATGATTTGCAGGGCCAGGCTCAGCAGAAGTTTCAGTCGGTAACTTTGTTGCTAGCTCCTTATATCCCTTTTTTCTTTCTTCTAGAGCCTGTATAACGAACCCTGATTATTATTTATTCATTTCTTGTTATCATCCTTTAGAAGATCTCTTATGTTTTTGTAAGGTTCTAGATGCTTCATTATTTACTCATTTCTTGTTATCATCCGTTGCATTTCATATGATTCTCAATAGCCTTTCTATCAATTGTAAACTAAAAATGTTGTAAACTTGATCTTTTCATATTCAAGATTTACTCAGCAGGAACTTGCAGCGTGTAAGCCAATTCTCACGCCACGATGAGTAGGTTTTATAGTATTGCATTCGATATCTCCTTAGTCAGGCCATCCACATTCGCATGTTAGATTTTTAGTTGAATTCTTGCCTTATCTCGTTGTGCGTGTGCGCACTTGTTCTTGCAGGTGATCTCAACATTCATGCTCGTAAGCACTGTATTCATTCCCATCGGAGTTGCTTCCCTTTTTGCTTCTCGAGATGTATGGCTAATTTAAACCCAATTCTCTGCATAATCTGTTTTTTTTCTTTTCTAGTACAACATGTAGTTGATCAGGAAAATTATGTTTCTGTCAGGTTGTTGAAATTATTAATCGTTATGAAATTGATTGCATACCAATACCCGCTAGAATATGTTTACTAATATATGTTTACTGATCTTTAATTTTACTTCAAAAATGTTATCACCCTTTACCCACTAGAATTTTATTTCTAAAACTCCTCAAACAAAGTGTCTTGGTGGTTTCATAATCGGATTGCTGAACAGAAAGTTTGTGTGATCAAGCATGTATCACTGTAATTGGGAATTTGTGGCCTTATACTGTTGTGTTGTTCTTGCAGTGTTTCAATGAATAAATTTTCCATGTCATTTCCATTATAATTAGAAACTAAAAGCATACATGATATTAATTTCAAATAGGGTCTTTAAAGTCTCTATTTTAGACTTGGGTATTTATGATTTTGATTCACATTGAAATGATCCGAGTTTGTTGTATGTAGTTGAAAAATTAGACCTTTGATTTTAAGGTTTGTGTAATTGTTCTATTTATGTTTAGGTAAAATTGTTGAAACTAGTTTAGTTGCTTTGCAGGGTTGTTTATTTGGATTTCTGGTGGGTGAATTTCAGTTTTTAGCTCTTCGGGCACCAACACTAGCAGCTGCACCATTTGGTTATAATCTTTGGAAAACTAAGCATTGGGGTATGTGTGTTTTTGCAAGAAAAACTAAAACTTTTTGTTGAGGATGAAGATTGGTACTGATTGGGAGATGGATATACATTTTTTATGGTCATATTTTTGTTAGAGATTGCTATTTGAGATTACTATCAACTCAAACATTTGTTTTTCTTATGATTTCTAAGCTTATAGATTAAAAATGTCAGCTTCAATAACTTGGTATATGATCAAGTACAAGATTGGGGTAATGGCAAATTTAATGTTTGCTTTCTACAGTTTCTTATATTGCTCTATTGTTTTAGGCTGTATATGAAGTGTGAAGTGTTTATGCTTACTGAGTAAAGATGTTAATTAGGTCCTCTTGAGGAATACAGGGAATAAGCCTATGTGTGTTAACTTGGTTCTTTGATTGTTTCTCAAATGATAACATCAAATCTGAATGTTTACATGCATCTACAAAATATTTGATGTCATCTGCTAAGTACTAGGTTGCATTGCATCTTTGAAAAACTGTTAATCAGTTGACATATTAAACTTATTCATTAACTTTTGTTATCAAATTGTGAGTTTAACTGTAAACAAGTGTCAAACAATAGAAAACAAGCCACCTAAAGATTAATAAATATATTAATTAGTTAATTTTGCAACTATTATTTCTCTCAACAACTGAAAAAATGGGTGCGCCTCAGTGGTATTACTATTTCGTTTTATTATGTGGATTTGAATTTATGTTTTTTTTTATAATATTTAACCTATTGGACACAATAATAAAATTTGTGCCAACATTGGATGAGAGAGTACTCTGACAGCATTGTCAGAATCGAGGCACAAAAGACCCTTAATTTGTGCTTGCATCTTTAACACGAAACACGGTATTGTACCATTTGACAAATGGTGACGCCCATAGAGGGCACATACAAAGATAGTAGCTGCATTATTGCTATTGGTCTGTGAGCACAATTGTTTGTGCTTTTTTGCCTCAAAGGACACATATAATTTATTGTGTGCAGTGCTCATTTTTCTTATAGTGAACATGTAGTTTAGATACTGTCAAGTTAACATGAAGCATGAAGTGTGCAGGTTTAGCTTATTTCCAAACTTAAGATACACCTGTTCTTTCTACATTGATTATGAGAGATGATTGGAAAATAAATGCGTTTATCCTAGACTAAGACCTAGCTAATAAATCGACCCACCCACTCATAATCACTATTCCTTTTGGCGATATCTGAAATTAAAAATCATTAACAGTGGAGCATTTTTTTTAGCTGTTATTATGCATAACAATTTCCTAAAAACGCGAGCAAAAAGTTGTATAAAAAAGAGTATAAGATGATGTTTTTGTAGTGTCAGTGGCAACAATTTTTAAAGGGAAAATTAGGTTCACATCCTTCTTTTTGTTACTCCATTGATTAAAATCATATTCATTTTCAATTTTTTATCAAGGTCCTTGGGTATTATAACATCATTAACTATTTGAATAATAAAATATTTTTATTTTTAAATATATTCCTTTAATGTTAAAAATGTTACAATTAGTATATTTATATTTATGGCTAAATTTTTTATCATATGTTTTTATTTTTAGTTTGTACCTATTTTTAATTTGCAAATATTTTTTAATTTGTACCAATTTTCTTTTCATTTTTAATTTGTACCCATATATTAGTTTCTTTTTGTGCCCATATTTTTTAAAGTTTTATTTGTGTTTGTACCCATGTGTATACCGTCACGTGACATTGTATATTTAATCAATGATAGAAAAATTACATATGGTATATTTATGTTTTATGCCTAAACTTTGTATCATATATTTATATTTTTAGTTTGTACCCACTTTTAATTTGCAACATTTTTTTAAAAAATTTAGTATTTTCTTTTTTAGTTTTATTTTGTACCCATGTATTAATTTCTTTTAGCGCCTATATTTTTAAAAATTCATTTGTATTCATAATTTTTAATCTTTTATCTGTACCCTAATTTATTTATAATGTACTCATTCTTCTTTATTAATGTACCACTTTGTTATATGTGAAATGTACCAATTTTTTTAACACTATGGATACATTCTTTTGCCATTTATTATTTCTTATTTTTACATAGTTTTTTATCTCAATCAAAATGTTTGAATTTTTTTATTGTAACCGTTTCTAATTGTATTATAATGAGGGATTTTAAATTCATAGGATTATAAATCTCATAAAATATTAAACAATTAATGTCAAAACTATAAAAATATAAATATTAATAGTAATATAATGAGGTGTACAAAGTCAAGGGATCTTGATCAAACTTTGAATACTATTAAGGTTTTAATAAAAAAATGTTAAGGATTAGGGACGGCATCCAAAATATCTCATTTTTTAAATTCCAAACATGAATGGCATCTAATGTCATGCTAAATAGTCTCATTGTTCATGTGACCTCCGAAAGTGATTATTTTTCAATGAACTCTAAGAACCACAGTTTTGCTATCAAAACTTGTAAGAAATGTTCGGTACCTGTGAGTTTCCAAGAAGTTAGGCTCTCTCTTTCAGTCACAAATGACATTTTCATGGTTAAGTCGTGGACGTTATGGGGACTATGCGCGCCACTCAAATTAAAGGCAATATTGAAATGTCAGAGATTAGAAGTTTGCGGAGCAAGGAAAATTAAGAGTAAATTGTAGCAATGGTTTTTTAATTTTAACTCAATTGGAGGAATGATTCATCAACTAAAAATTCATTACCATTGGTCCCTCAACTAAAAACTCATTATCATTGGTCCCTCAATTTTAATCCAACTGAAGAAACTATGTAATTAGATGGACCCACCCTTCAAAACAAATAAGCAAAGAAAACCATGTAATTAGATGGACCTACCCCTCCCCCCCCCCTCAAAACCCCGGCCGTGATGCCGGGACCTACCCCCCGCAAAAAAAAAAACCCGGGTGTGGTGCCAAGGGTACAGGATTTCTTAAAATTTTGATAGGCTTGTGATGAGCCATGGCATGGTTGCTTTATCATTAGGAATATGAGAATTCCCCCCCCCCCCCGGGCGCCCAAAACTCGAGCGCGGTGCCGGGGGTACAAGATTTCTTAAAATTAACTTTGATAGGCTTGTGATGAGCCATGGCGTGGTTGCTTTATCATTAGGAACATGAGAATGGTGATCCTATTGTTGCTGGTGCTAGAAGCTTGGGGGCCAATACGATCTCTGTAGCTGAAAGCTTGGCGCCCAGAGATGCTCTTTAGATGGCTAGAAGCAGAGATTTAGAAAAATTATTGTGGAAGGCAATTCCAAATTAGTGTTTGACACCATCCATTGCCTTTCCAATGTGCCTTGGAGATTGAAGACTATTATGGACGACATTAAGAGATTGGTTGGATCCTTTGATGAGATTGCTGGAATCATGTCTTCAGATAAGCAAATTTCTTGGCCCAAACTATCACCAGTATTGGGTTTCAGTTCAATAATTTGCATGTTTGGGACAATCTTTGCCCCCAAGTTGCTCATAGAGCCTTTACTTTTTATTGTAAACAAATTGGATGTTTTGGGGGGCCACTCCCTTTAATGGTTACTCTTTTTCATTAAAAAAATTATTTTGTTCTTCACCACAACCATGAGCACTTTTTACCCTTAGAATCGGTCACGTGATATCATTATTTTCAAGTTGTGATATTGAATTTATTTTAGATGAATATAATTTAGAAATTAGATATATCAACTTTGTCTTCTACTCATATTATATTATGTGCAATCATTTATCTTGTGGCTCATATTTTCGATAACTATAAATAAATTTAAAATAATTAAAAATAATAAAAATCCTTTGTAATCACTACAATCTAACAGCTGTTAATGAGGAACATATGCCTTAAAATGTCCAGAGTACATCAATAACCTAAACCCACGTCGCCAATATTCAGAAATATGTGCTAATATGGACACCTTAAATGTAAAGGTACCTTTTGTAGATGAAAATGAAACCTGAAAACCCTAATCTGTTTGGCTGCTGAGAAAGTTCAATTGAGAGAAATATCAAGTAAAAAACTCTGATTTTGTATTAATGAATCATGATTACAATGAATCGTATATATGACTAAAGAGAAACAGTCTTTATCTGTTAACAAATATAACAAACAAGTTATTATAATTTTGGATGTTTTCACTTTCTAAAAAGGAATTAGATAGTATGTACGGAATGAAAATTACTATTGATGTTGAAATTAACTCCCCCTGAGAACCACAATTTTCATGATAATAAATTTACAAGCGAGACAGGTATGAATTTTGGGGAAAGTAAGAGACTAGTATGGGAGATTCCGATGACGATGATTTTGACGACTTGTTTTTCTTGGATTTCTTTGAAGAGGGCACTTTTTCACTTGTGGAGCCTATTGCTTCATCGGAGACCTGGGAAGATGGCATGAAGCAATTGAGAAATGTTGAGAACACCGCCATTGTGCCTACGCTTTGGACCTTTTCACTCGATTGAGACCTTGTATTAGCTAGCGTCTAGATCAAAGAAGAGTTCTTAGAAGAGCAAGGCGATGCAACTGTTTGTGGTTTCACTTTAGGCTTGGATTAGCAGATCAAATAGTTCAATAATTGGTAAGTACGTTGTGGTTCTGCCGTTGATTCATTTATAGTGAGATAGAAATGGGACAATATACGTCGCGTAACTTGCACGGCAAGGAACCACATGCATTGTATTAATCTTTTTGATGCTCTATCCCTCTTTCCCCTTCAGTGAAATCACCACCTCACGCGGCTTCATTGACTGGCGATTAGACCAATATATATATATACTTTTTTTTTTCAACATACTTTTTCCCATATATAGGAAAAAGCTCGTTGAAACTTCCTGCCGTCTAAGTTGACAATTAACATAAACCAACGTGGTACAGATGAATTTTATTTGACTGAACAATAGATCACCTGAGAGGCATCTGTCTGGTATCAGGTATGATATACTTGTTGTTAAAAGGACTTAATTAGAGAAGCAATGTGCAAATTTCCCACAAACACCTACTAATAATAAGGATTAGTAGGACTTACTTAGGGGAATTTTAACGAAAAATTCTCGGTACTATTCATTTTTAACGAAAAATAATATTTTTACACTAAAAAGTTAATCATGATACTATTCACTTTACCCTTTGTTTTGTTTTTATCGTTAAAACTCAAAATTTTCAAGCTTTTTTCATTAGTTTTCCTCTTACTTAATCATTATCTGCTGAATATAGTAAAGCTAGACTGAAAGTTCACCGTTGGTGCTCTCTCTCTCTCTCTCAGGTCAAT